ATTATAATAAATTATGCTATGCAGAATCTTTTAGAAGATTTTTAAAAAAATATATTGAATTAATAAATAATTTTAAACTTGGTTAAATATGTGATTTAAGCCTTTAGATAAAGAATTTTTTTGTTTTTAAGAGTAAATTCTTGCTGAATTTCTTTCTCACCAGTATCTAATTACATTTTTTAACATATTTATATATTCAAAATCATTAGTTTTTGTTATTTGTTATTAATAATTTTAAGATTATTTTGTTGAATTTCTTGTTGTTTAAGATCTGTTTTAATATTTAATTTTTTAAAAATTTCTGTATTTGGAATTAAATTTTGTTTTCTTTTTCTATTTTTTTTGTTTTTTCTTTTGATTTTTTAGTATACTCAGAATTATTTGAATCATATTCAGATAATAAAGAATCATATTCTGTATTCTTATTTTCAATCTTTTGTATTGTTTCAATAGAGATTCTAGAAGATTCTTCTTGGTTGTTATTATTTATTTGATCACATGATTCAGTTTGTCGTAAATATTTAAACATTTTTTGATTTTTGAAATAAGATCATAAATATTGTTTCATATATTCTAGAAAATGTTATCTCCAATAAATATCATCTCCATCAATAATGTGTTCTCCATAAATACCTTTGTTAAGTTTTTTACTTTTTTCAATAGTAGCTTCTGGACCTTTCTTATCAACACGAAGTTCAATATCAAATATCATATTTCGAAATTTATCTTCATCACCTTTATGAAATATTATTTCTGTTGTTCTTTTTCCTAAATCTTTATTCCACTTTACTTTAATTCTATAATATAATTTAAATATCATTCAAACTGTCCAAAATCTCATTGATTGTTTTCTTCACCATATTGACCAAAATTGAAACTATCTTCTGGTGGTTTTCTTGCAGTTAAAAAAACATATTTTGCTAAAAAGAGAATAAAACCTTTATATTTCTCTTCAATATTAAATGCTATATCATTTAAAATATTGATAATATTATTTCAGTCCAATTTCATATAAAATTCATCAATGAATACAATTTTGTGGTTATTATAATTATTCTACCAATTAGAACCAGATTTTTGTTTTTTGGGTTTTTCATACAATTTATCTTCAAATAAAGCTTGAACTAATCCTGATTTACTGCTTCTATCTGGACTATAAAAATAAAAACATATTGGTCTCCAGAATCTTTTTACCAATTTTTTCTTTTTATATTTTAAATCTTTATAAATTTCTTTTATACTAATATAACTATTTGAATAACAAACTTTATCTAAATCTTTTGTAAATACTTCAAGTGGTGATAATCCATTTAATGACATATTATTTCTATTTATTATAGCTTCACGTTCTTCTAACAATTGTTCTTGTAATGCATTTTATTCCTTATCTTCTTTATATTCTCAAGCTATATATTTTTCAAATATCCATGGTCCAATTAAATCTTGAGATAATTCTTCTCCTTTTCATCTTGCAAATGAACAATTACAAGAAATATCACAATGTTTACAAATTTTTTCAAAATTTTGATAATTATATTGACATTTTTTATGTTTTTTACAATGATTATGTTTTTTAATACTATAATCTCTGTTCTGTTCAGAACTATCTTGTAAGTATTTTGAAAAATTTATACCTCGGTGTTCAAAAATATTTTTAGCTTGTCTTACTAATATTCTATTAGTAAACTGAAAATATGCTTGTTCATGAAATTGTTCTGTCTGAGTAATCTCATATTGGCCTGAACTAAATATCACTCCTTTTTCTTTTAATAGTTTGAATTCTCCTGCTGTTTTTGGTAAAACACATTGATATCTAATATTATTTTCTTTGCAATAAGAGCATTCAATATTATTACACTTTTTTAGTTTGCAACAATTTGTGCAACTTTCATCTTTACATCACCAATGATTTTTGTTACTTAATTTACAAAGATTAATTTCACCAGATTTTTTATATTTTTCTTCACATTCATCAATATCTTTTTGTAATAAATTCTTAATGCATTTGAATTTATTAATACAAGAAATACAGTAATATATTGTTGCTATTCTGTATTGAAATTTGAAGCCATTTTCTATTTTGTTATATAATATTTGATAAATATTCTTTGTTTTTATCTGTTATTAATTTAATTTTTTTTGCTGAATAAATTCTTTTAACTTTTTGAGGTTGGTATAATATGTCACCAAAATCAAGAATAAAAAAAAATTATTTTTAAATATTTTTTGTTTATCTAAATACAAATAAATATAAGTGTTATTTGTTTCCTTTTTAATCATAATTATATATTTTTGAATAGTAACGTCTCTTTTAGAAATTAAACTAGTTATTTTTGATAAAATTTTAGTAAAATCTTGATTACAATTATGATAAACAATATACAGTTGCTTTCCTCGAATGTTAATCTTATTCATCAAGAAAATTATTATTAGAATTGATTTAAAGAATTAATAATTTTATGCAAATTACACTTATACTCAAAAATAAAATAAAAAGTGAAAGTTGATCTTTATATAAATTTTTTTATAATTTATAAAGTAAATAAAATTATAAATCATAGTTCTTTTTACTATAAAAAATTTACTAATTAGTAAAATTAATTTAGAAAGTAAGAATTTACTAATTAGTAAAATTAATTTGGAAATAGATTTATGTACTAATTAGTAAACTTAATTTGGAAAGTAAGAATTTACTAATTAGTAAATTTAATTTAGAAAGTGGTACAATACTATTTACTAATTAGTAAATTAATTTAAAAAAGTGGTACAATATAAATAAATAAATAGGGTTTGGGTTCCATAGCTTATTGGTTAAGCTTCCAAACCCCCACAGACAAGGTCAATGGTTCAAGTTGGGCTGGAGGCAAATTAAATAATTTGTTTCTGTAATTTATGGGGGCCATAATTGGATGCGAAGCCCTGTGGAAAATCCAAGTGCAGTATGAAACCAGAATAAGAAGTTTCCAGAAGGAGACCAGGTTGTGAAGTGAAGGCATTACATGTGATAGTGGCATTACAGAAGGCTAGGTAGTAGAAGATCACGTGTGTAAGTCCTCAAGTTGGGGTAACTCGGGGCAATACCAACATCCTATCACCTTCATATTCGGCAATATCAACATCCTACATCCAATTTGTGGGGTACTTGCTTGGAAGGATAATTAATGAATCGTGCATATAAGTCCTAATGTGGAATAGTGTTGGGTACTTGCTTGGAAGGATATTACTATACTACCAAAACTGGAGTAGTGAGAGAAGCAGTGATACACAACTATGGGCTGTGGTAAAAGATCATGTCTTAACTGGAATTGGAAGCATCTCTGGCACCGGTGGAATGACTATAGAAGGCTACTCGGCGTAGAAAATGTAATCTACTCGTATGTCTAAAGGTACCAATTCGGGCTCTGGTCACACCTATATGGAAGTCTATGACGAAAAAGAGTTAGGATTTACCAACA